AAACGCTTTCGGTGTACACTCCAACGATACTTTCCCCTGGAATCGGCTTTTGTCTAGTAGAAGCCGTTGGCATAGTGTTAAAGTTTCGCTGTCAACCGAGACTGGAAAGAGCGCGAGTAGGGGGAACTTTCGGAGCGATGGCGGAGGAGGGTCGGCGGGGGAGGCGGGTGGCGCAGCTCACTGGCTTCCCGCATGCGCTCCTCCAGCGTCCATTGCCACCGCATATGAAGTGACCGCGTTGACGGACTTCCTTATGGCAGCCTCCGGTCCATGAAACGCTTTCGGAAGGCAATAACGCACGGGACTAGGATGCACTCGGTGGCGAGCTGTTTGCCCGATGGCTGAGTTGTTACATTTTGATTACCATCAACGCTTGCGTGGGTTATGCGAGTAAACAACCTTCACCTTTTTCCAAACCTGTCGCGTCACTTTCCTATTTCCTCTGAGAGATATAATCACATTATTGCGATTCGTACAGTGTTTTCTGTTGTTTTCTTCGTGAAGAATTGAAGTAGTCATTGTATGTGGATATTATAATTCCTTCTTTACTTTTCCAACTTGCATGCGATAACAGTGACGTAATAACTGCAACTCCCATGCATTTGTATAAGAGTAAATTTAAAAAAACGAACAATTATTGGTAATTTCTCCATTGGAGTATTCTGTAATAATAATCACAATGTGTAATGTTTATAATGCCTTCATTTTTCACTTTTCCTATGACATAAGTCCTTTCCAGAACTACGCACTAGGTTTTATCAAAGATGCATTGGTAATAGCTATTAACATACCTAGAAATGTTATGATTGTTATTACTGCCGATGCCAAAAGTTAAAAATCGAGGCGGTGCGTAGCGTAGCCGAGATTTTTAATTTGGCCGAGGCAGTAATAACACTGTAACATTTCGTGCTATGTTCAGCTTTTTATCGGTCACCATGAAATCTCAATTTTTTTGAGAAAATTTACTGCGACATTACTGCGATATGACACATGAATTCTGTTGTTGCGGCACGATAATCGATATTGTTGGGTATTGCTTGCGATATATGTCGTTAGTAAATATGATTACCGGAGAAGTGGTGGAATGCCTGGGTAGTGAGGTGTTTACCTAATACAATTTTTTATTTGCGCTATTAATATTACAATTAACAATAATTAACCCCAAAACTTATGAGTTACCTTTATTCTGAATTGTTTGTATTTTACTTTGTACGAAACATAGCCAGTTTTTTCTTAATAAACATTTCAGTTGCGATGTATTGATGATTGTTTATTTACGTTGCTAAGGAGGTTAAAATTCGTTTCTAAGTTTGTTAAATTTCTTAACCTACAGGTAGGTACAAGTGCACTTAACAAACAGATAAGTTTGCGTGTTAACAAGGGTTAAAGACTCATGTGACCGATAAACGCGTATTAGTAGACGAGAACGAAAATATTAAATGTGCACAGAATGTGTACATATAAGATATGTGGTGTTTCTGTCCATATTCATTTATTTAATGTTTCTTCTTGATTGTCATATTATTTTTATTTTTTATGGAACAAATAATATGCATTATTATGTGACAATCTCTTATCAATATGTCACCCGCATTAATTGCCACTTTGAGCTTTAAAGAACTATGGAATCAATTTCGGTTCAATATTGAGTGACATTTATGAGACGGATCACATCTATCGTCAAATTATTGTATGTATGTATCCTTCAGAACCAATGCAACTGTGATGATCCAATCCCTTAATTTCCATTAAGGCAAAGAAGATAATTGCGGGACAAAACCGGCGCAATTTTTTCATGTCTCGACAAAATTCTTCATTGCAAATCTCGCGATAACACTTTGCACGAGCAGGTACAAAGTGAAAACACGTCTTAACTCATCATCTCATCCGTCTTGTGACTACGAGGCGACCTTGGTATGTCGAAAATCTCGCGTTCCCATGAATTGTAGAAAGGTGCGCAATATCAAAACGATAACTATCTATTCTATGTCATTATTTTTTTTTTTTTCGAATTTCCATATTACGTGTGGGAATGGAATGTCGAAATGACGGGCTCGAACACTGCGACGGACCGCAGCGGCAGCGCCACTGTCACGTTAGCGCGAGAGTGCGAAATAATTTTCACACGGGACGCAGGCACACGCAGCGGTCGTCGCCGTCGTACCGAGAAAGCGCTTAATTGTTACTTGGGCGCGTAGTTGTTGCGATTTTACACAGCATAAACAGTATCACACGGTATTTCATAAAGTTGTCAGAGTACTTAATCCCCATGATGTGCAGTCGCCTAAGGAAGAATCGCGCCAGTGTACGCGGTGCTACCTAGCTATTGTCTTGCTTTTTATGTGGTGTTATTGTAGTTTCTGGTGAAGGAAAGACCTGGATTGCTTGGAAATGGGGTTATGGCGGTATGTGGAGAAGATTGGTTGCAATGATAAAATGAGGAATGAAGAAGTCTTGAAGTGGTTTGTCGAAAAGAGAACAACAATGAAGGAAGTAAGAAAGAGAAACGTTCGTATGATTGGACGTGTTTTGAAGAGGTAATATAGCCGCCAAAAAAGTACATGATAGACCAAATGGTGGAGCCGGGGTAAAGATTTAAAAAGGTCAGACATGATGAAGCACATAAAGGGGTTTAGAGCTTGAGATTAAAAATATGCTTAACATAGGCAGCTATGGAAGCAACAAATCCATTGAATCCCGTCGCAAGACAGATTTACCAGAGGATGATAATCATTATGACTTGCTTAATCGTTACTTGGGCGTGTAGTCTTTACGATTTTATTCGTAAACAGAATCACACGGTATTTCAATTTAGTAGAAGTCACAATGTGGAGACGCTTAAGGAAGGATCGCATCGGAGTACGCGCTGTTACCTAGCAATTGTCTCGCCTTTTAGGTGAAATGCGTTGAGACAACTTTTAAACTGGGGCTGTTTGTTTTCGTTGTGGGAATTGAAATCTCTTAACGTGAGAAATGACGTCGTTGGTTCCAGTCTGCTGGTTTTGCCGAGTTAGTAACAACTTCTATTCGCGGTTTTATGATACTATTTTTTTCATGCTAGCGTAAACGTTAGAAGCAACTTCCGAGAAAGTGCAAAACAAGTCAGTGAAAGTTTGATTGATAGTTCGGCACATTAAACATCTGTTTAGATCGATAACATTCTCATATTAAAAATATTTCACTTCGAATATATTCCATCCAAAAAGTTTAGTCCATTTCAACTCATAACCGACATTTTGTATTTGTTAAATACTGAAATACTTACATTCATTCTTATACATTTTAATACAGAAAACGGATGAAACCATGTATACGTCGCTTAGGCGAAAGAACACTACATTACTAAACACAAGCAATGACTTTGGCTCTAAGCATATTAACTTTGGCTCTAAGAAGACTACTCAACTACTTGGATTGTTCCTCGGGTTAGATCTGTCGTACTACTTTTAAAACGAAATTTGGTGTCTTCTTGGCTTGTGTTTAGTAATGTATTTTCCTACTGGCTAAGTGTCATATATATATATATGTATATATTTATATATGTATATATGTATATATGTATATATGTATATATGTATATATGTATATATGTATATATATTTCATTCGGCAGCTAATCGTTTAAAATTTAACCATGTCCGTTCCAACAGATAATTGACATTTTGTATTTGTATATGTATATATATGCATCAACATAGTTAAATTTTAAACGATTAGCTGCCGAATGAATTGTCGTTAGCAGAAATGAAGAAGGTTTCCCTAAATGACCACAAGATAAAGATGCATATTCACTAAAATCCCAGAGTCGAATGCGGCCGAGGAGATGGATATTTGACCCCTTGAATTTCACAAGTATTGTGCCGCGGAAGGCCACGTATTCTCTTCAACCCAAGAGCTCAGAAGTAGGCAAAAGTAAAAAAAAAAATCCAATAGCCGAAGAGGACTATAACAACTGTCGAAACGTATGATTTACTTGTATAGTGTGTTTGATGTGTAACCTGTCGTTTTTGCTCGTCTTATTCCGTATAAACTTGGCATAGTATAAAAATCTACTACAACGCAAAGTATTATCGAATATAGACGTAACAACAAATCATTAATGAACTTCATATTATATGTAAGCTTCGGAGACCAAGCATTTAATCATTGAATGAGAGGAAATTTGCGTGGGCGAGATGCACAGTTTTGTTCCCGCTCAACCGTCAATGTAATGATTGGACTGCTGCGGCTTTCCAAGTTGTTTTCTCCGGTGACCTCAGCAACCTCTTGGAGTCAGCTTCTTTCTGCCAGCCGAATATATTTGCCTGGGAATCGTAACTCTTCCTCGCTCCGCTTCATTCGACTTTCACGACCATTTTGCGTTGTAAATAAGCCTTTGTCAAATCTGGATGTCGGTAACCTCAATCATCTCTCCTCAATCAACCTCCAAATTACAAAGCATTTCTCCTGGATGGAAATGTAAAGTTTTTTGTTTTTAACTTAATTTACGTGAGTTCCTTACGTTATATTAAGTATTAGTGTTCTTAATATTGAAAATTTCTTTCGCGATATTTGGTGAGGAATTCCCATTTTTGGGGGCCACCAGCCGCCACTGATAATAATAGAATTTGTTATTTTGTCATTCCCCAACTTAATATTTGCTACTTCATGGAGCGCTGATTCGAATGAGTTGTAATAAATATAAATATAAGTATTTCGTCAGGCCACAGAACAACTCAAACCGTTATGTAAAGAGAAGGTATTTCAAACTCTTCTACAAGTTTGTAATTTTTACTCTAGGAAGACCGATAGAGAGAGAAAAATACCAAGGCACATGCACCATGCGCTTCACCAGTTAATTGGTGGAAGATACCTCTACTACTTCTACTCCCACGTGATCGCATTCTTTGCTGCGAGAAAGAGAGCGAAGGGGGGAGAGTCAAATATCTTGAGATGAATGAATGGATCAGCGGCCTGTAAGGGTTGAGACTGATTACTTCCGTTTGTGCGTTCTGTTTGCAGCAAGACGCAGATCCTGGGTACCCCACGTACCACGAGGTGCCTGCGGGCCTGGCGTTCACCTGCCAGGACAAGAAGCCCGGGTACTACGCGGACCCCGACACGCGCTGCCAGGTGAGCCCGAGGCAGAGGCCTAAGCATGGCTACGAGGCGGAAGGCATCGGGCTTTGCTCGAATGTCTCAAATTAGAGTCTGTGCTCAATTAATACTTCTACTATTGGTTCTATATGGTTGAGAAGTCTTTGGTCTTCTCATTCCAAGACCTCGAGGTTACAGAAGTGTAAATATTAGAGTAGTACGTTTTTAATCACCGCTTCTATTAACTACACATTTAATCGTTTAGTTAATAATTTATTACTATTAATATAGTTAAATTGTAGTGTAATTATATATTCAGTTGCAATAAATGGTTCTTATTCATTACAATCTCTCCTTGTAATAATTAAGTATGCTTTTTATCTGACATGCATACAGCTTTTTTATTGTGAACATCCTCAACATTTTAAACCATTTTCGCTTGTAATTTCCGGTAAATAGTCGCGCGAAGGATAAAAGATAGTTGCCTTTCTCTAACATTTTTTATTCCGAATATGTCGGAATAGAATGAACGAGAATAATATTTAATGAAACTGTAGTTTTGTTAGAAATATTTCACATATTGAAGAAAATAATAATAATTTCATTTATATTTTGTTTTTGTAGTACTTCAAAAATTGAAAATGTCTCACCTGGCTAGGTTAGAAAATAATGCCGAGGATAGACGCACAAGGTTTTCCACAAGTACTCTTGTAATCTCAGTGCAGAACATTCATTTACAATCCCCATGTAGATGCGAAATTATCCATATTTGTCGTCAAAATATGCAAGGAGATAACGGTAGAAATGTCTTAGAATCCGGGAGAATACCATAAGGGCCTTCATTGAAGATTGTATGGTAAGTTTCCATGATTCAAGGCAACTCATGGCCAATTCACGATTCATTGGCTAAAAAATTTATGAATTTATCATACATCCACCACAAACTGCCAAGGCGCATTTTATTTGCAATTGCGGTAACCAAACCGTTTCAGGGTCCACTCATTCACAAACGTGTTCGTACAAAGTACGGTATTCCCGAGGATATGTATCTTCTATTCACTCTTGTCACGGAAGGTCGTCATAATGATAAGATATTGACGGATGAACCAACAACTGATTTGTGAAAACAGGACACAAGTGGATACTTCTTGATTGCGCAATAAAAAATCATTCTTTATCTTGTGTCTTACTTGCGCAGGCCTATATGTTTACGTAACATCTCATTGGAATGCCCTCGTTGGCCATACATTACTGTATCCACCTCCTGGCCCAAACAATCGAATGAAGCTGACTCATTTATTTATTTACTATTCATAATTGTCACTATTCCGTCACCTTCTTGGACGCAATTACGCTCGTAGAATGTATTCCGCAATCGCAAAGAAATCCAAATTGTGACCACGTCACTGAGTAACAATGCATTTTAATAATTACATTTTTTCAAAGAATTGGTTGCCCCGTTCCATTTAATTATTTCCGTAACATTTAATTATTACTTTTTTATTTATATACTTATTTATTTAGCTGTCGAAGTCCCGCTATACCGGTTCTTCTGCTTTTTGTTTTCTTCTTCGTTCTCTACTTCTTTTCCATTTGTGTCCATAATTTCTTTTCCCTTTTCTCCTCTCCTTTCTTCTCCTGTATTTTTCTTCGTTTTGCTATTTTTTCCTCTTTTCACCTCTTCCAGCATCCTCTTCTTTTTCTCTTCGGCATCCCAGTTCATACTAATAGAAAATACCTAGATCCTACAGAAAAATCTTGGGTGCACATCAGGGATAGGTGCAACATGGAGCTTATAAATCATAAGACGCGGTTGGCGTTAAGCAGAGTGATAGCTATTGAAAGTGCTCAACTAAATTTATTGTACGTAGCTTATTTATTTAACGTAAAGAGTTAAAATGTGAGAGGGAAAACGATAATCTGTGCTTGTTTCCTAGAGCTCCGGAATCCCTACCTTCTCTCTGGTACTGTATTAAGTTAAATTATGAATAAACGGTGGCGCACCCGTGGGGATTGATGGGGCTTTAGCCCCCACTCCCGGAAGCCAGTGATACATTTTTTTTTAAAATAAATAAATTGCTTACGTTATAAATATTAACAATAGATTGACAAATAAAAGTTCATTTTAAATTCAATATAAAAGAAAAATTCTTATAACAAAACATGAACTCGGCTAAACACTGTACTTGTAGCCCTCCCTCCCCAATTCTGGGCGCACCTTTGTGAATAAAGATAGCCAAGAGTATTTTTATCAAAATTTGGTAACATGAAATTAACACTTTTAACACAGTCATTTTGTTAACACGAAATTAACTCTCTAAACCGTCATATGTTTGCAAGAAATGGACAGAATATTTTCCACAGAAAAATTGCATAATTCGGTTTTAATTCTTAATTCTGAAATTTATATGTTTTTTTTAATTTCACTTTACCAGAAATGGTTACTACAATGTATATAATTTAATAGTCATGAATGGAATTGTAGCTTATTTCAATGAAGTAAATGTAATTTTAATTTTTTTAGCCTCTTATATTTTTGTCTGTTTCCAATATCTAGCCTTGCACTATTGATAATTTACTTGTACCTAATATTTTAGTGAATTCAAAATTAGGGTTGCTCAATAGCATACGAAAATTCTTGATCAATAAGTTAGTTAGGAATCTTGCTTGGGAAACAAGTTCTGAGACAACAGAATATAACATGTTACGTAAAAAGTTGATACGTATTTTCTGAAAATAATTTATTAGATTAATGATAGATTCTGCTTGAAAATGTCCAATGAAGGCCAGTCTTAAAACAGGTTCATAATAAAAATTAAATAAATGTGTTGAAAGATGCAAACTAGTGTATTTCCTTGAATGACAAAATGCTTTATGTAATAACCTATACTTTATCTAAGATAACATGAGAATTATTAATTTTTTGCATTTATGATTCTCTCAAACACGAAACTCATTTTTATATATTCTACTAATTGAAGTCAGAATGATGGCCTGTGAAATATAAATCAGAAACCAAAAGAACATTTGGCAACTTTATTGAAGAAAACGTTGATGAAGAGTTCGTGAGTGAAGCAACAGTAAACTAAAGTCAGAGAATTGATAAAAAACTGTTTTGGGTACAAGAAAATGGCAAACTAATGTTGATGATACTATTTATAATAAAATTATTAAAAATATAATTACATAGAAATCAGAGATAAAATAATGAAAAAAAAACAGTATTAGTAAAAATTATGTAGTATGCGTGAAATATAGATGTTTAGGCATTTTATATATTAGGCATAACAATTTAAGTATCCCATAGCATAATTACCGTGTCTCTTTATTTGATTTAGGCAAAATACAGTGAAAAACTATGTGCAGTATGGGGGATAGATCATCTGCGCTCGTCTTATTGAGCACCATAATCCCTTCCCAACAGTTTAACTATAAATAGTGGAAACATGAATAAAAGTTTCAAAAATAAAAATAAAAAAGTAAATAATAATACAATTGTAAAAAGTGTGAGATTAGCAACATTAAAGGACTTGATATTTTCGGTCCTGTGTAGTAAAAAGCCTATTTGCATCGATGAACAAACTGTAGATTTGAAAGTATTCATTTCATAAATCAAAATGATGATTTCTTTATTTAAGATTACGTTATATTTGTCAAAAATTCCTTACTCAAGGGTGGGGAAACATTTTCAGGAAACCCTCACTATAACTATCCTCTCAATGTAGTAACCATATTCATCAGTGACAGTAAAAACAGCTCACTAAAAAAATCACATAAGTACATGTATATTTTATTTTATAACACTCTACCAAATGACATGAAACGATTAAATTCAATACAAAACTTTTAAGTCCCAAGTAAAATATTTTCTGCTGCATAATTGTTTCTATACAATTAGAGAATATACTGAGCATCAAAAACGAAAGTAATATTGATTTTAACAATGATATTTAATGTATTATTTACCACTTGGACTGTATAATTCTAAACAAGCTGTAACAAGTATTGAACCTCAGCTTCTGGGTCAATGTCTCCCATCTCGGTCATGTTGTTTGTTCAGTTTCCCTGATCCTTTAAACAAATGCTGAGATGGTCCCTTGTTTTCCTTCTGGACATAAACGTAACTTAATTTGCGCGCACGTCTTCTAGAATTCACTGGGAAATATGGTTATTCAAATTATCGTTATCCATGTTGTAGGCAGAAGTATTATTCCTTCAAGAAGGATACGATGAATTAGAGCCCAAATCTATAGCTGACTAGCGGAATCCGGCGGACCTTCTTGCCCTCATCTCCCTCTTTCTCTTCCCCTCTCCCTTCCTTTTTCCAACACTCCCTCTCTCCGTCTCTCCCTCCCTCCTCTCTCCGTCTCTCCGACTCTGTCTCAGTCCGTCTTCTGTGTGTCTGTTGTTTTGTTAACAATTCTTGACAAAAACGCTCATTTCTTTCTGTATTCAACTTGTATAATGCTTATTGTGTGTATCCTAGTACTAAGCAACCGTGCACAGAATATACTTCTCCCCGTAGTATCCCACACAATAGGTTTTAACTGTATTTGACGTAAAATGAATAAAAATACGTAGAGCTATTACTGCGATAATTTACATAGAGCTATTATCATGTTGACACTTTTTTAGATGGGCCGAAATACATATGCCTAATGTTTTGCTACTTTTCCTCCAGGTGTGGCACTGGTGCCTTCCCTCGGGAAGCAAATTCTCTTTCCTGTGCCCCAACGGTACAGTCTTCAACCAAGCAGTCCGCGTTTGTGACTGGGCTCACAACGTTGACTGCGCGCAGGCGCCTCAACAATACTCCGTTAACGATGATCTTTACCGCGACAAGGACGGCAACTACATCTAGCGGTCACGAAAAGAATTACCACCGCTGCCGCTAGTCTGACTGCCCCTGGTGGCGTAACAGCAAAGCAGCAGGCGTGCTGAGGAGCCGTGCCTTGGAAGCGGCCTTGCGGAGCGGTGGGAAGGGTTATCCAACTTGTCCTCAGCCTCCTCATAAAATTATCATTCCTCCTTCATTTTATTATTGCAATGGCAAACTGTGTGTGCTTCGGTGTGCGCCGTCATTCCGAAGAGAATTTTACAAGCGAAGGAAAATGCCAAGCTCTGCAGCGGCGGCAACGCCACACATGCGAAAGCTAAGCGTCAGCTTTTGCTGGAAGAGTTCGAAGCCAAACGAAGCGCTCTTTGAAATACGCTTCCAATTTGGACCGCAATAGAAAAGGGCACCAACATATGTCAAATACTAATAAAACACTCTTTGTAAATATTTATCCTTGATTTCACTTCGTATGTGAATGTGTTCATTTCATCTTCAGGTAGAAGTAGTTAAAGTAAAGACAGTTATTATGAACAGAAATAGTATATATTTCGAAATTACTACGACAAAAAGAACACAAAGGATTATCATTGATCAGAATTCATTTTTTGCATTTACGTTACATTAAATACAAGTTACATGTTTTGTATCCATTTTTTGCTTACTTGAGGTAGATGAACAGAGTAACAAGGCGATCCAGATTGATCGATGGACTTTTCTGCAACTGAAGTGAGAATGCATTATTTAACCACATACTGTGCACATTAGCCACAAATATTTATTTTAACCTAATCACCAGTGTGTTTTGTATGTAACACTGTATGTGTGCGACTTACATGTAGATTGTAATGCAAAACAATAAAATCATCCCTAACGTATAAAGGCAAGCATCATTAACTTACATTCCATCCAATCCATACAATTTGTCCTTTCTTTCCTCTGAAACAGTGTCTGAGCTCTGTAAAATCTCTCTCGCTCTCTCTCGCTCTCGCTCGCTCTCTCTCGCGCTCTCTCTCTCTCGCTCGCTCTCTCTCTCTCACTCTCTCTCTTTCGCTCGCTCTCGCTCTCTCTCTCTCTCGCTCTCTCTCTCTCTCTCTCTCTCTCTCTCGCTCTTGTCCTCAAGATTTCATTATTGAAAATTTTGCAAGCCCTTTCAATAATAATGTTGAATAGCAAGACTAAATCTAAAAGCGACAAAGGAATTAATGTAAGGAAGGGTATAAGGGTATAGATACATTTGAATTTGTATTTCAAGATATCTTGCATTAAAAATTTTAACCTCTTCCCATGCACTTTTAAAGCAACTACACAATTCTAATATTGATTTATATGAAGCTCAACAGTTTTAGATTAGGTCTAATTTCAATGATGCCAAAAATGAAGCTTAAAACTTGGTATGTAAAACCTCGATTTTCAAACAAAAGGGTAAGGAAAACCCAAAGCCATTTTGATGAACAATATCAAGAAGAATGACTTGTGAATGCCGAAAGTCATTTCCATGTTAACATGTATGGTTGTTTAGATGTAATATTGAATTAACTTCAGAACCAATTCATTAGTTTGAATGATTTAGCATGTAAATTCAAAGGAATTTAAGCGCAAGAATTGATGAAATTATCTGATGAAAAAGACAGAATTGAGGCAAATCAATTGGTTGAGAAATATCTTAAAGATATTTCATATCAGTATTTAATTATTATCATTGGGAAGTTATTTGGACAATAAAATAGTTAAAGTGACTGCAGTGCAAGAATTAAGTAATTTAATTTTAATACACAATCATTGAAATGGGGTGTGCTCTCTGACACATTCAGTAAATTAATTTTAACAAATTTAATCATCAGTGTCATCATCAGTGTTCTCTAAATGAATTTTGGAACGAAGATCAGATCAACCGGCACTAACATATTTTTTAATTAATTATCCATGACATAAAATGTTAAATGATATATTAATATTGTCTACTACTCACACAAAATCATTGACTTACAAATATTTATTAGTACCTACCTTATAAATATTTTTCGAACACTAATGATCATTTTAGTCAAAAGTTCAACACTTTCACAAATTTGATATAGCACTACTGTTTTCCATTCAAAAACTAGTATTTCTGTGAGAAGGAAATAAGGCAATGTGGGAGCCAAAAAACATGCAGTGCATCTACAAAAAATGCTTTAGCACTTTACAAGAAGTCAAAAACGATACAGTAATCAGATCACAAATACTTTATTTAACATAATGCAAAAATAGTTTTCAATACTTTCAATCTGTAAGTTGATAAAATTTTTCTCCATTTTGGCAAATAGGATAGTGCATTTTTAAAATATACTCTGAATCCAAATATTATTCAAATGGACGACAAACCACAACACGGAGCTTAAAGGGTAATCAGGTAAATATGACTCAAAAATTCAAGATTTTTACTAACTTGTAATTAACAAAAGAAGACAAAAAGACAGAATAAATAAAAAGACAAAATAAACATGTAGGTAGTAACACACAAACATTTTATTACACACATATTTAGTTCATAAATATCAATTGGATTGATTGATAATCAAACTTTAATTAACATAATGCAAAAATATTTTTCAATACTGACATTAAGTCTGTCAATTTCAGGCATAAGTAAGTAAAAGTTTCCTGCGTTTTGGCAAATAGGATACTGCATGTTTAAAATAATCTCTGAAGCCAGAATATGATTCAAATGGATGACAAACCACAACACAGAGCTTAAAGGGTAAACAGGTAAATATGACTCAAAAATTCAAACTTATTACTAACTTATAACTAACAAAAGAAGACAAAAAAGACAGAATAAATGAAAATGACAATGTGACCATTTAGTAACACAAAAATTTCATAACACAAACATGTTGCAACACAAGCATTTAGTTAATAAATATCACAGAGATGGATTGTTGACATTTTGTCTCTAGTAACTATCATGTGTCTCTAGTTATGTACTTTAGACACCTGTGTTTCAGGATGTCCCACTTGAGACTCCACTGCAGATCTTTATATCTCAGTGTTCTTAGTAAAATTGCCACATCGTCACAGAGATCCTGTGGCAATTCCAATACTTCCGCGTTTAGAATAGAGTTAGGTTCGATAAATATGTCGTGAACACCACGGCGTTGCGTTATTTTAAACACGTCCGAAAGCGTGACTCGCAAACGCTTCATTTTTTTTAGTTCGTTTCCAACCGGGATCTGGACTGATTCACTATTAGCTTGTACCACATTGTCAAAGCACTCTACGGTTGGGTAGACACAAAAAGCAGTTAAAATGCACTCTCTCCATATTAAAACGTATTTCCGAAAGAGTTGAGCAAGATTCATCAGTCCATTGCACAGGCAGTGCTTTGCCTGTGCGATATTCTCCGGAACACCTGCGATTTTGAGATGTTCTAAGTCGTTGATTTGGGTCGTAATAGCTCTGACGCAAAGCTCTATACAAAAAGGCGCCATTGCGCCGTCACTTTCCCCCATAAAGGCATTGCTCAACGCAAAGAGGTGTTCAGCAGTGAGCGCCGGGGCTATCATGTGGCGTACGTCCTTTTTCAGTGTATTGGGATCGTAATACACGAACGGACAGAGCGAGACCAGATCCTTGATAAACGGGTAGGCGACGTGCAACGGTTCCGCCAAGCACGACGTCATGAAAAACTGGAACGCTAGCAGCGCAACGCGAGCCTTCTGTGCCCAGATGAACTGCGATTCGTCTTTGTCCATCAAACTCCTGACGAATGCCGCGCCTTCCTCCAACGGGACCCCGTGCAGCAAGTGGAGTATGATTTGGACGTGGCCGAGACGGAATAGCAGCGCCACGAGCGCGTGGTGGAGACTCAGCAGTTCGCTCCGGGTGGAGAGCATCTGGCTCCGCTCTTCCGGCACCTGCTCCGCGCACAGCAGGAACGTGTTGAGCAGATGCACGGCCTGCTCCAAGAAGCCCGACCGCGCGAGGGCGACCGCGCGAGCCATCACCACGGTCGGAGACTCGCGCTCGAACAGCGCCACCACCTCCTCGTCGGTGGGCGAGCGCCGGCGGCGGCCGCGCGTGCCGGCGAGCAGCACGTCGCACAGCACCGGGTCGCGCCAGGGCTCTCCCGCCAGCCGCATCAGGGCGGCGACGGGCGCAACATCTTTGCCAGCCTCCTCGAGCACCCTCTGCAGCCGGAGCAGCTGCTCCATCAAGGCTTGGCGCACCGTCGACCCCTCCCACGTCCACTGTTCCGCCATTACGACTTCTAGCGTAACTTCTTCCAGCCACTGCAGCACGTAAGTGGGATTCTCTCGTCGCCAAGAATTTTCAATATGTGTCATAGACACGTCCCATGCGCTCAACAACCTTTCTACAGCAGCTGTCCACAAAGCCGCCTCCGGTCCTTTTTTCGGAACGATCCATGGAAGTGCAATTAAAGGCATGATGTCTTCATCGATGTCTGCGGGCGGCTCTTCCACCGAAGGCAGACCGGTTAAAGACTCATTGACTTTGGAGGGCGTCTCTTCCATTGCCTGATCAGTCAAAGGCGGGATTTGGTCTTCGCCTTTGCAGAGAGACTCCACCAGCTCGTCCATCAAGGACAGATCAATGATTGGGAAGTCTTTATATGCTTCAGGGGACGGCTCCTCCATCCTCTCGTCCATCAAGGGAGGATTAATTATTAGTGGGATATTAGCGTAGACTTCGGGGGCTGTCTCCTCCAGCCAGAGCAGACTCGTTGAAGGTTCGAAAGGTCCGATATCTTCATCGACCTTTGGGTTCAGCTCCTCCATCACCCCGTCCATCAACGACAGATCAGGTAATTGCGGAATGTCTTTATCAGATTGGCAGAACTGCTCCTCCATTGTCTGTTTCGTGCAGGTCATATCAGTTACAGGCGCAATTCCTTCATTGACGTCGGGGGGCGGTTCCTCCACCGCGCGCGAAGCACTTAAAGGCGGGGAGTCTTCATAGGGGGGCGACTCCTCCATTGGTTCCTCCACCGAGGGAAGGCTCGAGGCTAAAGGCGGAATGCCTTTATCGGCTTCGGAGGCCGTCCCTTCCATATTATTGCTGGGATACCCTGAAATAAAAACATAGACGCAATTAACATCATACGAACTGCAATGCTGCAAAACATGGCTTCCAAAATAAGCAAACGGCAAATAATAGTGGAAGGACGGAAGGCTACCAAGAAAACTTAGTTAAGGCTAGGCATTATATATCATGCAAATGCATCCATTACTATTGTTCTCCCCCCGCCAAGAATAGATACGTGTTTATGAGTAGAACACTATGATGGAATAAGCTCTAACGATGACGCTGCGATTTGTGTACATCTATGCGTGAAATGCAAGAAGGAGGAAGCGCCACAAAGTGCGATAGATAAAAAATGACTCACTGACCGAAAATGATATCCTCAGGAGCAGAAAATGCAGTTTGCTGTTACTACGCAGCTAAAGAATGGAAGAGAATGACGTAGGTAAGATGGACGATAAAGAACGCTGTGATCAAGAGAGACCCTAAATGACTTAGTGAACTTATATGACTTGATACATTGGAATGGTCATCAAACGTTGTATATTTTCAAAAAATTAAATTGTAACATTGTAACTTAAACTACCAATTGTTTTTCTATAATCGTAGTCTGTCGCTTTCTCCTGGGAATCCACCGTGTTCGGAAACGCGATCGTAAATATCGGGACCTCGTCCACCTTGCGCGTTGGTGAGTGGATGTGCACATTTCACCTGGCGTGATTAAGAAAGTCTGCAACCAGCGCGTTTGCCAAAAGTGGAGTTTGTTCTGTAGAACATTACCGTTAATTTTTCAACAGTGAAATACATTTACTTCTCAGGGCTGG